TAAGAGTGTCCCACAAGAGTTTCCTACAAGAGTGACCCACAAAAGTGTCCCACAAGAGTGTCCTACAAGAGTGTCATTTGGACATATGTAGCTTTTCGACCGCGTTTGCATTCTGGTTCGTGGGCTCCAGTTTGTTTTCTAATTTAAACGTGTTCCACCCACCCTTTTTGATCCTTTTTGTGTTTTTTGTTAACACCAATCACAGAAGACTGACAGCTGGAAAGTCCAAAAGACCTGTTGGTTGGCCGATGAGGGCTTTCTTTTGGGGTTGGCAGTCACCAAATGATGGTGTTCCATAGCTGGTCACCACTTCCGATCTGGCGTTTCCAGGTGAGGAAGGTCGGCAACTCTGGTCGCTCCTAGGCCGGGCCAGGGTTGGACCGAGTGGCAGACGGAGAGTCGCTGGCAGATCGACCTCACTGAGAAAATCTCACCAGGTCGGCACCACCTGTCGTGGGGGAACCTCCCTGCAGCCAAAGATGCTTTCGAGAATGCTCGAAGCTGCGTGGGAGAGGCACCGGGGGGGGCGGGGTTGGCTGTGTGTGTTTTTTGTTGGAGGGTTCGGAGGGTCTGAACAAAACGATGCTGCATGTCGACCTAAATTCCTGAGCTTTCCACAGATTCAAACCATCTTGCGTTTGTGGTGATGCCCAGGAGTCCACCCTCCTGTTGAACCAGGGGCTGCTTGCAATGGCATCCAGCGACTACTCCGCGGCCAGGCCGGGCACTTCTCCATACTCTTTTGCGTGCCGTGTCAAACAACATCTGTAAGTGATTTGGGGGGGTCTCCTCTTTTCATTGTAGATATAACAGTATAGATATTGTACAGTCTCAGCAGGTAGATTTTCTGAAAGGGAGGAGTGTGACAGCCTACAAGTTTCACTTCTTTTGGCCATTTGTCAAGAGGGAGCTCCCTTTCTGGAGCACTTTGAGAATCCTATGACTAGAGAGGCATCAGAACTGGGTGCACTCGCCTAAAGCTTTGGCTTGCTGTGTCCAACTCCATCTCATCGGGGCCAGGAACGCGTTTGAGGCGGCGGCTGTGGCCACAGCTGCCCTGGAGGAAGAGGCCACCCGTGACCAGATCTGAACGCCGCCCGGTCAAATGATGTCGAGAGCCACGTGGCGTGTCGTTGACGCGGGAGGTCCTGGCTGCCGAGAACAACCTGGCGGTGTGCAAATTTTACACCAAGGACCTTTCAATGTGTCAGGCTTAGATTTGCTTCAATTCTGGGGTGGACTTTCGGCGTGGTTGTGACTCAAGGCGAGCCAACCCTTTAGATCAACTTTGAGAGTGATCCTCTTAGATCCACGGTCAGACGCATGTCCACCCTGACCACACTAAGAAGAAGATCCTTTCCCTAAATATCCCCCAGATGCGGATCTTGAAACAACAACATAGCACTCCATTCTTGGGATGAGGACCCATCTGACAGACCCAGCATCTGACAGACCAGGACCTCCGTGGCGCCTGTGAGCGCCTGGAGGCGGTTCCGGGCAGGATTGGGACACGTGGGCGGCTCGGGCATGTTGCTCAGACCTGTTTCTTTTGGATGTCTTGAGTTGCAGGAAGCTGTTTTGCTTGGCAAATGACAACACATGGTACCTGAAGACTGAGAAGTTCTCAAAATCACTACTTGTGGGTGCAGCTCATGCCGATTGCTCTGCCTTCTGTAGGTATTGTGGGACCACAACTGGTATCTCAAGCAAACTGTTTCATCCTGAACAATTGCACGTGCTGGTGCGTTGGCCATGATGAACCCTTGGCCCTTGGCAACACGCTCCCACAGTACACAGCGTCGGAAGCTCAATCCAGCGCAACCATGTGCCCGTCACGCCAACGGCAATGGGGATTGCCATCCAAAAGCAACACGTTCAGGGTGTTCTTCCCCTCCCCAGAGGCGCAAGTCGCAAGTCCCTGACACCGGAGAAGGCTTGCTAAACACATTGGGGCCGCCGGAGGCTCTGGTGAAGAAGGAACCCGTGCGGTTTCTGAAGCCGTCGATTCTGCACAACTTGGCCTCATTCTACGAGTTCTCCCAGGCGCGGAAATGAACCTCTGAGGTGTGATGTTGTGGGCCACTGACGACGTTTTTTCACGCGATGGTGGCAGATGGTGGGAAGATCGCCACCCTGTTGTGGCGATGATTGCTGATCTTTGTGATCCTTTGGTCCCAAAACCCGGTACCCCTGGCAAAGCCATAGAGTCATCCAGGCAACCGTCCGATGCTCCTAAGCCGTGGCGCTATGCGACTCGGGTCGACTGGGGCCAAATCGTGTCGACGTGGCCAGGATGCCAGTGGCAAGCGCCGACAGCTTCACATGTTGGCGGCCACCACCCAGCTCCTTTGCTTTGAGAGATTTAGCTGTCGGTATTCCTTTGTGATTTGTTTTCCTTTGGCCATTGATGCTGGCAAACATGAAGACACGGCACGTAAGCAAGAGAAGCATTTCTATCCGGAGCTTGTTGGGCTCGTTGGTTTCGGAGTGAATGCTTTTTGGATGGACTTGGCTGTCTGAAATCCTCTGAAACCATCGTAGAACTAGGAAGCCACAACAATGAATCTAGAACACCTCCCAACCAACGGGTTTTGTTTTTTCTTCCAAGGGGTCGAGCCGGAGGTGGGGGGTCTCCCTATTCAAATTCACACCTCAATAAATGCTTTAGACAAGCATTTCCGAGCGGACTGGTTATCTTCCTTGATTCGATTGCAATCCAAGTGGTGGGGAGTGCCAGCCAGAAACGGATCCAATTTCCGAGATGGTTTAGGCGTGGCACATGAGGATTTAATATTGGCCACGTTTAAATCGCAGAGAGACAATCCTTTAGGAAAACTGTTGAGAGTAGTTAGTCCTGCAACATCCTTTAACAACTGTCTTGGAACAATTCCTGATGTGAAGATTGCTAGGCAACATTTCTACCAGTCTCATCTACTCAGGTTGGAGGATCTTGACCCACAGCTCTTTCAAGCACCACACATGTGAAAAGAATTGCGCTGAGACGGCGGAAGCGGTGACAGCAACTCGAGAAGTTGGATGTTGGAAGTACCGTACGCGTGAATTGGCCAATTCACGAGCACCATCACGGGCACATTGCTTTGTGCTCATTTGCTTCCAAGAGCTTTCTGAAACCTCGATTTGCGTTTGTGGACAGTTGAGTCAGTAGAGCTTTTAAAGGAGAAATCCGGTTTTAGAAAGTTTTAGACGTAGATCCAGCCAATTCACTGTTGCAGTCCTTGCTTTCAATCAGCGCCAGTTGCTCAGAGTGCCAGACTTGGAGCTCCAATCGACCACATGAGACAGCAACATCCAGACAGCAAGATCATGATGAATTCAGGATTCTTGAGAGCAAAGATCTGAGTGGTCCCCAATTCCTGCCACCTTTGAACCATCGTATTCTTCAGCTGATGGAGCTTCCGTGGCTCCGCTCTGGACTTGACCTCGCCGGCCCGAGCCGCCCGGCACCCTCCGCGTCCAGTGCGGCTCCGCGCCCGGCACCGCCGACGCGCGTCGGGCGCGGGCGGAGTGTGGCCGCTGTGTGGAGCGTGGCGGGGCTGGTCCGGTGGCGCCGGGCAGGACGGCGAACGTGGAGGAAAGCAACACCTAGTGAAGAAGAGGAAGAAAGGTGCTCAGATGGGGGCAGCTCAGTGGATGATGACAGCTTCCTGAGAGATTTACAGAAACTTGGACTTGACTGTCGTTCTGCTTTCATTTCTGATTGACAGCTTCTTTACGCCTTTTGTTTTGTTCCCGCCAGTTCATCCAGGAAAAGAGTTGCGGAGGTCAGTGCCCAGGAGCGTGCCAGACGTGAGCGAATAGATGACCACTGGCGCGATGGAAACGCCAAAGCGCAACCCGCAGCCATCATTCAAAACGACTGGGTGCGTCGAGTGGCTTTGGCTGGAGATGAAGTCTTTGTTGGGACCTCCTCCACAGGCGCTGTTCCGCCCGCTGGGCGCGGACCCTTTATACAAGGGCATTACTACTAGGAGCAAGAAGCTACGAGTAACAAAGTGCATCGCTACTAGGAGCAAGGACGCTACTAGTAGCTCCTGGCCTTACTACTAGAGGCTGTTGACATTGTTTTGGGTCCCCGCAAGGAATCTCAGCATGAACAAGGCCCAACCAGACACCCAAACACCCCATTCGTGAACAGTATGAAAGCATAAAGTCCATTGGCCTGATTTGCTTTGATCTTGGGCTAACAAGCCATTTTCATCTATGTTCCTCTTCAGGCAAATTCTTTTTCGGCCTCCCTTTTTCGGCCCAAAAACCGCGTGCACCGCGCGGTGCCTTTTTTCAGGTGTCCGGAGGCACAGCTTTGGCTCCGTTGAGCCCAAGCAGGTCTATGGCGTGCACGGGAACCCGCAGAGGATGGTGACTGCCGATCATCCGGCAAAGGTGGATTTCCGAATGAAAAGGTGGATTTGAAAGGTTTTAACGGGTGACTTCCGAATGAACTTCTTGGTGGAATGGATGGGAATTGAGTGTGGGTGTAGTCACGAACTTATTTCTTTCGATGTTTCTTGACAAACCCACACACACAATCACACACACACACATATCGGGATTTGACATTCAGAACACTGGGCAGAAATCACATTGCGCCAACAACAATCATTGCGCAACATTGCAATGATTTGTTTCAACTAAACAGTGGGATGATTGCCTCTTGTCCGCTCCAGTTCTGAGAGGTTGTTCACTGTGCAGGACTTTACGCAGCTGTGACAGTGCGTAAAGGATTTTCCAAGTCCTTTCTCCACTGTCACAGACTAGCAAGGTGATAACTTGACTGCGGTTGGATTGAGTTGTGACTCTACTCTCAACCCCCTTCAGCATTGTTTGTTGCACAGATGCTGCAAATGACCCTGGAGTAGCTGTAGCAACGCACAAGCTTGTGTGGATCATGCTGCAAGATGCCAGTCACTAGTTTGTCGAAAATTATTTACAGTACAATCACGTGCCTAGTAGTAAGGCCAGGAGCCCCTAGTAGCATCCTTGCCCCTAGTAGCGATGCCAGGAGCCCCTAGTAGCATCCTTGCCCCCAGGAGCCCCTAGTAGCGTCCTTGCCCCTAGTAGCGATGCCAGGAGCCCCTAGTAGCGTCCTTGCTCCTAGTAACGATGCCCTTTGTCCCAATCACGTGTTAACTAGACATTGACATGTTCTTTAGGGCCATGCTCGATGATGAGGTCGCGAAGATCCGCAAAAGATGTGTTGTTTCGCGATTCATGGCTGTTCCATCATGAAAGAATACGGATCAACCACCAATATAATGCATATCTATAATCTCTCTCTCTCTCTATATATACACAGTATATACAATATGTACATATTTACACAGGGTATATTATTTTCTTCTCCGGAGGCTTTTGGACCAAGTCGTCCAAGAGTCCTCTCCGCCAGGTGGACCCTGAGACCTCCGTAACATCGCTGACCTGGACCGGCCAACACCTTTGTGCAGGTAGGGTTGACAAACTCCGTCTTAGTCATGAAAAATCATCATCATACTGCCAAAAAGTGGATCTGATTTTGAGAGGTTTCACGAGTCCACAGGGTTTTGTAGACATGACTCGCCCTTCTTGTGTTGTGTAGATGAGGCTCCGACTTCCCAGTGTGATCTCTGCTCTCATTTCATCATATCTCGTCTCTGATCGACACAGGTCTGGCTGGTGGCCGTCTTCAAGTTTGGAATGAAGAAGGTTGGTTGATCTTAGACCATGAGGTAAACAGTCGGCCCTGCTATGTCTGTGTCTATGACAGCTCGATTTTGGTGGCCGCCGCCGGGGACTCCATCATGGCTTGGGACTTGAACGACTTGGGCGATGCAGCGCCACGGTGTCGGATCACCATGAGCTGCAGGGTTCATTGCTTGAATCTGGCCTTTGAAGGTTCGGTGGCCTTGGGGCTTGCAGATGGCCACTCAGCCTTTTTTGCGATGGGTTTTGGGAGTGCTGTATATCATTGAAAACCCGAAGTAGTACTGAGACAGTAAAACAGTGACAGCGGAGTGAAACATGTTTAATAATCGGATTATTTTGACCTTTTTATGTAACACAAATCAAAGGGCAGGTGTTTTGTATGTTTCAGCAGACAAGCTGGTTCTGGGAATGTCTGACAGTTCCCATTTCTCTCAGACGGGACCAGGCTCGTTGGAGCTGCGTTCCTTGCCGGACCTGTCGCTCCTCTCGCGCCGGATTTTGGGGCCGGTGCCGGTCTCCGCCGTCTACGTGGACGAGCGAGGCATTGTGAGTGGGGATGACGCAGGACAGGTCGTGTGTTGGGACGCAGATGCCCAGATGCCGGGAGAGGAGTGGCAGATCAAATGGAGGGGACAGCACCAGGGGCGCATCGTGGCCCTCAACCGTGGTGGTGGAGATTCCATCATCTCCGCCGGCTTGGATGGCCACATTATGGCTCGCAAGGCCGAGACTGGTGAACACATGTTCAGTATTCCCAACCACAAAGTGTGGCTCGGTTCGATGTGTGTGTCCGAGGAGCTGGACTTGTTGGTGACCGATGGTCGGGACAACGCCGTGTATCTCTACGATTTCGGAAATCCGTAGAGACATGGGCTAAAGGCTCAGCAAAGGCAGGCTCTGGCGGCAGAAAAGTGTGGTCGATCACTGGCGTTCAGAGCTGGGTTCTGATGATAAACCCAAACTCAACTGTATTTTTTACGACGTCTTCTTAAAGTGCACCCATTGAATATAGACTTTGAAGGGTCGTGTATGGTGTAGGTTCCCAAACATGCCTGTTCACTGAGCAGCCTTGAAGAGCGGAACTAAAGATGGAAAGCACCTATGGATCCATGCATCCATGGCCAATAGATCTTACTTTTTGCCGCACAAATCTCCAACGCAGCTTAGACATGAGCCGCAAATGAAGCTTAGAACTGCAGCTCCATGACTCAAAGAGAGGCGCCGGCGGGCTTTCAGCTTTTTGTGCTTCCTTGGGATTGGAGATGCAGTCTTCAGAAAAAGAATGAATCAGCATCCCAGATTTCTCTACTGAGACACCAAGGAGCTACGCGAAAACAAAAAGAGGGCATGAATCTCATGACTCATGCGAGTATTCCTGGACAACCAGGGCATGTTCTCACTGAAGCCTCCTGAAGCCTGAAGCCACTTTCTATACCTGCAGAAAAGGTCGCAAGGACTAGCAGAGCCAAACAAAAACTGCCAGAGTTTACAGAAACAGGAACACGCCATCGATGCTTCACAGCCAACGTGACTGGCCAGTGCCATGTTCATTCTCTGGTTGAACTTATCATCTTAAAATCCTTTTGGGCTGGATGGGAAACACAGGAACCATGGGAACCCGGGGAAGCTTCAGGCCTCGCCTCGGCAGGTCAGATGAGCCGGTGAACGACCCATGGGGTGCCGCACGGATGCGCGCCAGAAGTCGTGAATTGTTTTATACAAATCAGAAGCCAATATTGCCATAGTCATTCAAGTAGAGGGCTCCTAGAATATCCAAGCTTTAAAGAACATTGCTTAGGTAGGGAGTAAACCCCAAACATGTTTGCAGTCCACTGTGCAATGCGAACTCGGCACCACACAAGACACGATAAGAGTCCTTTGTTAGATATGTTAAATGTTTGACTCAGCACGACGTGCCATGATATTAGGTAGTTATTTTCTAGTTGCGGCGTCATCCCTTTGTCATTCATCTTTTGGCACATTTACTGCCTTGCACCAGGTTCCTTCCCAGTTGGATTGAGGAGAGTCTTCCAGACCCCGATGAGGTGGGACAGAAAGATACCTGTCCTTTCATGTCTGACCGAAGAGGCATCTACCCTGCAAGAGAAAAAGCAGTGAGTCTGTACTAAGCAGCCATTATGAATCGAGGTCTTTAACACATGTTTGCATTTCTTTTGACACAAGCCAGGCTGTCAGTGCATCCCATGCCCAAATCCCGAGCCACCCACCTGATCCGATGCAAGTATCGCTCCAAGGTGGTTTTAACACATCTTAAGATGGCGCAGACGTTTTTTTGACCATGCAACTTGTTTTCTGTTTGATTAGCATTCTCTTTCACATTCGTGGGGGAAAAACACCTTCCCAGCTGGGTTGGTCACGGATTTCTCCGGCGTGATGCCATGCTCCAGGTCTTTGCCTATGACACGGTGAAGCTCGTGCGGATCTTGGACCGACGCATTGGGCTCGGAACGCCCAGAGCTGCGGGGTGAGTCTGAACTGGCCGGGACAGTCGGGACGATCGGCCCAGACAGGCCGTCGAAGGACAGGTTTGTTGCATACGGGGAACTTCTGGGTTTCACCAGTGAAGATCATGTGAACTTCTTGCAATCCTCCGGGTGTTGGTGGCCAGGTTTGTCTACTGGGGCGTTCAGGCCCTGGTGGCTTTCTACATGGTGTGGCTCCAAGCTGTGCGGCCTTTTGACTCGGGAAACGGCAGACTATCATGGAGCACAGATAGCAAAGAACACCTTCTGCACCTAACCTGAAGCGTTTTCTTTTGGGTGTAGCAATGATACTGTTCCCGAGAGTATATACTTCTACACCATTTGTGCGACACGGACTTCCCCGACCTTTCCAACGTCACAAACGATTTGCAGATCGTCATCGTCTTCATCATCAACAGGGCCTACCAAGACACCGTCGCCCTGGCTTGGACTCTTCGAGACGACCAATCGAGACTGGTCGTTTGACCGGTCGTTTGGGAATCCAAGGCACGTCGTTGTTGGACCTGTTTCTCACCACGATGGTGGAAGACCTGAACTTGGTTAGGAGAAGTTCACCGGGTCGAGCCAGGAGAAGTCCACCGGTTGGATGTTGACCAAGGTGGTGAAGTTGGGGAAGCCTAGTGGGAGACCGGGCTCAGAGGGCGGTAGGTTCACATCTTCCAGCGGAGACACCTGGTTTCAGTCATTCTTTATGTGCAAAGAGTTTCCCTACAAGCTGGGGTGACAGGGATTCGCCAATATTGTTGACACACAGCCACCTTTACATGGTACTGTAAATAGATTGACAGTCAGCATGGTTTCAGTCAACGGGACAGTCGTTCTTCTCGTTTGCAGCGTAAAGGGAATATTCCCCAGTTGGGAAAGGACCCAGTCGAAGTTAATATGTGATGACTCTATAAAGTGACAAAGATTGCCACGGGCATTATAAGCATCATGTCCTTTTCCGTTCTTGCAACTGCAGTTGAACCGTAGATCCCTTTGCACCCTTGCGACGTTCCAACGTGAACTTTTCGGAAAAGCCTATCAATGCAGGGGGTGAAAAAAGCACAACGGACAAAACCTCCAGACTGAACCAACCTCCAGACTCTTGGCTGGTTTGACCAAATGAGAGTTGCCACAAACAGTCTGATTGGGAGATCAAGCAGCTCATTTGGGGAAGGATATTCTGATAAGCTTCAAGATGCCTACCTGGCCTCCGGTGAGGCCCCAGATGTCACATCTGGGAATCTCTTGGGATGCCTACGATCGCATTACAAATCCAGGCGGGATAGACGACTCTCCCAGACTTCGTGGTGCTCCTCAGATCTTCATCTCTTATCACTCCAGAGCATGTCAGGTACCTTTTTAAGGTCCATTTTGGCATCCAGCTACTAGTAGCTTCTTGTTACTAGTAGTAAGGCCAGGAGCCCCAGCGTCCTTGCTCCTAGTAGCGATGCCCTTTGTTCCTAGTAGGTCTCAGTTCTTCGTTCTTCCAGTTCCAATGATCCCATTCGACACCTATCACGCCGTGCCGCATGGGATGTTCCGGACATCACAATCCATTCATCGCTCGAGGTGAATCTGGGGCGGTCTTCATCCCTACCCGCGTGCTCGTGACAAGAGGTCAGACACAGGTGCGCCTGGGGCAGTTCCGCAGCATTGCATGGACACCCCAAATGATGTAACATGTTTCATGGTCTTTTTGATCAATTGTTTTACTTACCCCTGATATTTTATCCTGCCCTTTCATCACGCTTTCTGTGGCGAGGAGGATGAGTACTGTGAGTCCCCCTCGCATCCCTGCAAAGTGGACACCTCAGCAAATGAGCTCAAGCAGTGCTGCACTGCTTGTGCTTCAGGATGATGCTGCGTCTCATTTAGTTGTTGCATGTTGTTGCTTTCTTTTGACATGGCCAACATGACCAATGGGCATGACTTGTAGATGCAGCGGACCAAGATGATTCAGCATGAACATTCTGGGTGTCCAGGAAAACCCCTCCGCAGACAGCCACACCGCAAGCGACAAGCGGACGGGCGACTCGTTTTGATGCGGACCAAGGAGGCCAGGGATTGCAATGTGGGAGATCCGAGGATTCAAAAGATGGCCTGGCACTCAAACGGCCAACGAGTTCGCCGGGCAAGATGTTGGACGAGTCGGGCCATTTCCAGTGATGACCACCGTGAGCTTTGAGTGCTCGTAATGAGCAAAGAGTTTTTCTCCAAATCAAATCTTTGAGGCCACATGAGGCCATCGCTACCAGTAGCTCCTGGTAACAAAAAGCTACTAGTAACAAGGTGCATCGCTACTAGGAACAAGAAGCTACTAGTAACTAGGAGCTACTGGTAGGTCTGCCTCACTTCTCCCTTCCGCGTCCCTTCTCCCTTCTCGACATTCCCCTCACCGAGGAATGTAGTGTCAATGGCTTTTGCATGCGGCGGCAGTGGTGCCCAGCCGAGAACGCCCAATGGGCGACCACCGAGGCGTTCCGAGGGCCTAAAGGGTGGGGCTTCGGAAGGGCGTTCGGCCCAAACAAGTCCCAGAATTGGTTTACAGATATTGACAGTAAGGGAACATGTACAGGAAACCATGGTTTTCATCCCCAAACGTATTGGTTTCCTGTGGATTTTCCCTTCAATTCTGAGAATTTAAGCAGTTTTTAAATCAAAGGTCAACTAGTAACTAGCCGAACTAGCCCTTTCAGAGCCAGTCTGCAGGCTGTGTACTGTAGGACTTGGACTTTATCATTTTTGATCAAGCCCATCTCACAGACATGTTTGGCCACACTGCGCAGACGCATTACCTGGACTTCGACAAGGTAGAGCTTTGGTTCAAGTCTTACGTCCATTATCACAAGCGCGGAGGCCGAGGGAAACGTGTCGCGTGTTGTCCGTGTGGCTTTTTGCCGAGCATCTCCGTCGGAGCGGAAACTCCGAGGTTTGGACTTGATGTGTCCACTGCAGATGAGAAGCAATCCATTCCTTATCCTCAAAGGCCCGATTTGGACAACTTTCCAAGTCATGGTCTCAATGGTCTAAATCCTAGCGTTAAGTTCGCAGTTCGCAAGGACCATGCGCGGTTTCCAACCCTGTCAGATGTATAGGCTTTTCTATTCAAATGCCATGGCGGTTGTGCTGTGTCGGCTGTGTTATGCTGAAAAAGAATAGCCAAGTGGCCAAAAGACGGACTCAGAAGCAGATTCCCGGTAGCCTCATTCTGATTCGGGGTAGCCTCATCTCTGTTCCTTTGAACAAGGCATAAGTCCAAACAGGACCAGACGTTACAACGTTGCAGCTGATGGTTCGCTACTGTGTCACAGGGGCGCCAATACCTATCGCCTACAAGACCTCATTCGCATGACAAACTATGCGCCTGAGGCCAGTTGGTGAGGTGATTCAAAAGGATTCACGGGAGAGATGATGATGTTGCTGCTCTTTTACCACACTTTGTAGTCATCCCCAAATAGATATTGTTTTTTCTTATCGATCTATGTTACGAAAGCCAGCCGATAGGCTTGGCCAAGTTCTTGATGGGCGAACGAAGTGAGTGATAGGGTGTGTGAGGGGGGTGGTCGCAGGACTGTACAATGTACAACCGGCAAGAGGTAGTGAACATGTATATTTTTAAGGATCTTTGTGATGCGATGCAAATGACACTGAGTAGTGCATCATTAGCATCACAAACGCCAGGATTATATTAAAGTTGTCTACTGAGGTGGGTTGACCATGTGTGTGAGTTCAGGTAGAGGACAAGAGACTCCAACTTGCTAGATCTGAGATCGCTTGTTGCCTCTCTCGCCAAAGAGGACAATGTGTCCTTTCGCGGATGCCAAACCAAATTCATCTTCATGCAAAAAGCAATCGAAAGAGGGTTTGTCATTGGGGGTGCCTTTTTTTATGTGAAAAGTATACCCCACTAGCATGTCACTATAAAATGACTATCGTTTTCCTCTATAAAATGTAGATCCCAAGCCCCACTGTATCAAGCAGATAGTCGGTATGTGCACAAATCTTTATTTTCTCAAAGGTTTTTCTGCATGATGACACGGAACGTGTCGCTTAGCATGGGAACCTGGTCGAGTCATTTTATAAACAACGCGCTTGTGTTGAAGATTGGTAAGGGAATGTAAGGGAACCACATGGAAGCTTTCTAAAATCTTCTTTGCCAGCAAGATGCTCAAGGATGGAGGTGGTTTGAACATGTTTGAAAGTGAAAGGCCACTTAGGGAACAGACGCGCGCTGGTTGTTTATAAAATGACCTTTTGCCAGAATTTGAGGTTCAAACAGTGAAAGCAGATGAGGAAAACAAGTGTATGAAGCCGGCACCTCCAGAATTTGCCCTGAGACCCCTAGAAAGCAAACTGAGGTACTCATGTCAGTCATGTTGGATGCCCTGGAGACACCACCAAAAGCATGTTTTCGAGCCTTCCAATTCCACAATGAAGCCCCAGAAAGGCATTTGAAGGTGACATCACAGACCATGAAACAGCAGCAGTGTGCAGAAACAGCAGCCCACCTAGGGAAGAGACACACACTGGTGAGACCTCTGCTGTGTTGGTCGCATGTTGAGTGAACCTGGTCTTGTCATTTTATGAAAACTTTGACATTTGACATTCAAGACATCTGACATAAACATATGTTTAAGAAACCATCATTTTATACACATGTGGATTTTCCTTTTATAGTGATGGCATCCTGTTCCAAGCATTCTATCAACAGTCTTATATACAATGGACAATCGCAGGCCCAGCAGATGTTCAAGGGGTATTGAAATTGAACAGCATATTTATATAGCCAGACGTAAAAAGGGCACCCCCTAGAACTGTATATCAATTGTCAGTGTGCCACAGTCTATTATTGTGCTTACTTCCCTACTCTGAAGTTATAGATTAGACGGCTACACGTTCAAATTCATGCTCATGCAAAGTGAACGAAAACTCATGACCATGTATCATTAAGGGTGCCCTTTTTATACCTGAAAAGGTCTTAAGCCAAACGAAGAAGAGCACCCCTCGAACTGTATCATCCAAAGATTTGAAGGTTTGTACAAGCGCCTGGAATCCAAATCTATCCTACAACCAATAACAGTAAACGCATGTTAGCAAAGGCCTCGAATTAGTACAGCCCTTGTGTATATTGGCTCTCATATCAAGCGTCAATGTGAAGCTTTGCATATCTCTGCCACATAACCCAAAAATTTCTCAATCCCTACAGGGGCTGGCTTTCGTCCCCTCCCTTTTCAGGTATATGTATATGTATATATATTTGTTGTATATTTATGGGGAACATTGTGGACTCTGGAGCGACCTGGACGTGTTGAAGTGGGCCAAACAAGTTTTCTATGTCAAAGCACTGCAGGATCATATTTTGCATACAGCATCCAGTCCGGCTGTAGGAGTTTGTCGAGAATGGTGCAGTGATGATTCTGAATGGCCTTTTCGACTGCAATCTGGATACAGAAGTGTGCGAGATGAAGGCGGGTTTGCCACCCAGACGAAGCACAGATGGCCAAAGTCGTCCAAGCGTCTGAGGGCAGCGATGGTGGCCACCTAGACCCCGCGCAGTGATTGGGACAGTTCATGTGGATCCCAGAATGATGAAGAAGATGGGGAGGTTTCTTGGGAACATTCCATTGCCTGGGAACTTTGTCACAATCTGCTGTAGTAGCGGAATGCAAGCAGGGTCTTTTCATGAATGACACGACATTAGTTTGGAGGGTTTGCTTCAACGGGGCTCTTGTAGCCAGGTGGAAACCGCCAACGTGGACACCAAGACAGGCTTCAATCACGTCTATGAGAATATCTACTACGAGGAGTGGGACACGAGTTGGATAATCAGGATCTACAAAACAACTAGCCTTTGTCAGATCATTCGTGGCTTCAAGTAAGAGCACTTGGATCAACATTGGGCGGACACCATTTGATGTGTTTAATGTGTTTGTCATCAGAGCACAGCACGTGGCTGACCTTACTTTCACACACGACTTTTTGGATCTTCTTTCATCGACCGCCGGACCGTTCGAGCTTCGAACCCAGGCTGAACCGGTGCCCGGTGCCAGGATGGGGTGCGGAAGCGGGACGTCTATCGAATGTTCGGCATTCGCGTGGTGACCTCCGCCACAGGCGGATGTCTGGCTTGGGTGGGGTGGTGGAGGGAGCGGATTTCGAGAAGAAGTGAGATTTTGTGGGATGTGTTGGATGTGTTGGAGGGTCACATTTTACCGTGAGGTACATTCTTTGTAAGGAGTTTGTTTGTTTTGGTAGCGTCCCACGTTCACAACTACCTTTCACACCAAAGCTGGAAACTTGAATGCGATTATTTGAAAGCTCTTGGTACAAAAAACATTATGGGAGTTGCTGGGGGTAGTGTCCTTTTTGAAGGACCAAATTAGCTGCTGAAGATGAGCGGTGAATATTTGATTATAGCCAAAACGCTCAATGGACACATCATCCTTCAATATTTGATGCACAACGCTGGGGCGGGGCATCTTTCAATTAGGTGTGGAAGTTGCCAACCTTTTGCATTTACAGTACTTCCTTTTCCTCTTCCCATTCGTTTTCATTTTTCCTTTTCCCGTTTTCCTTCGTTTCCTCTTCCTTTTTCCTCTTGCTCTTCCCTTTCCTTTTGCTCTTCTTATTTCTTTTCCTTTTCCCTTGCTTGTTCCTCCTCCATTTCCCTTTCCTTTTCCTTCCTTTAGCGCAAGACCACGGAAAAGTGGAAACCTCCTTTTTCCACCCTGGGTCAGAAAAACAGGTTCTCGGGTTAAAAAATATGGTTCCGGGATGTTCCGGGTTAAAAAAGAAAGTTCCTGGGTTGGAAAAGCGGGTCCCCGGGTTCAAAGAAAAGGTTCAGGTTAAAAGAAACAACCCCGGATTGAAAAAAAGTTACCCTTTTTAGGGCCCATGTTCGTTTTCAGCAGGGTATGTGCTCCAAATTGCGATCGAGTTTTTCGGCAGGCTGGAACTCACCGGTTCGCGCAGGCTTTGGTGGCAAGACCAAGTTCTCCCAGATCGTTGGGGGCCGAGCCAGAGCGTGTCGCCAACAGTGCAAGAAAACACCACCACTTCCCAGAGGAAACGTTGTTTGTTCACCAGGATGTGTGTCTGTTTGCGGCTGTCCCTCTTTCTTTCTTTTTTCTTGCTTGCTTGCTTTTTTTTTTTCTTTACGATTTTTTTTCTCAAAAAGTATGTTTTTACCACAGCGATCGTCTCCAAAGACATCATCTGCCCGTCAAAGTCCCTTCTTCTAATCCAGCTGGTGGATGAGTTCCCGTTCAAGCCACCCATGTCACTCCCTTCGGATGTTGCCTCATCAAGAACAAGTATTGTAGCTTAGTCAGAGAAAGGCGATGTTTGGATGCATCATGTGTTCATTCTTGAGTCCAACGACATTTCTAAATGACCCATAAAGACGTATTCCGAGACAGGATCAGATGACCACCACAAGGTTCTAGGTTTTCGAATCGGCCATGGGAAGACGTTACCCGCCAGTCTCGCAAGATGACCATGGAGCTGCGGGTTCGCACGACATCCGATGGAACCAGCCAGACACTGCGGAAGCTGTACAGCCTAATCTCACAGACCATGAGTCACCACAATCTCAAACCGATGCATCTCAAGACAATGAGCGACGGAAGACTTTGCTTTGCCAGCACCATTTCTTCGGAACATGTCTCAAAGCGGCCGCCTGCGATTTCGCCCACGGTGAAAAGGAACAAGTGCGTCCAAGAGGCTTTGGGGAGAGGCAGAAGGTGAAATGGTGTGATGCACTGCTTCAGACGGCTTTTTGCAAGTACGGTCGCAACTGCCACTACGCACACCAAGCTGAAGAACTGGAGATGAATACTCCGGCACAGGCAGTTCAAGGTGCTGTCCCGGTGCCAAGACCAGAGCTGCTTGAGCTGGTACTTGACGTCATTGAAGTCGCGCCAGAGATCCATGATCAACTTGCACATGGAATGCTCTACCACTTCAACCGCTTTTTGCGACACCTTCGCTTGCAAGCACGGCTGAGAGAGTCGCAGGTGGAGCTGCTATCTCTAGGAGAAGAGGAAGCTCCGGCACAAACTGTCCAGGAAGAGATTCATGCAGAACTGTTGCGCTTGGCATCCCTGAGACAAGAGCTGACAGAGCGGATTCCGATGTCTCAGCATTTGGTGAAGCGGCTCATTGGTCCTCAGGGGCAGATCTGCCGCATGCTCAGCAGAGATTTGGGCGTGCAGGTCTATGTGCAGAATAGCACGGGTGAAGACAGCGATGCCATTGTGGAGCTGACAGGAGTGCCAGTGCTGCTCGAACAGGCAAGGGCCACTTTGGAGCAACACTTGATCTCGTTCCTGCAAAGCCCACCTCACTGTGCAGTGCCTGAATTACAGTTTGCAGCAGAGACGCAAGAGGTCCTCCATGTATTTGTGGATAACAGCAACATTTCGATTGGTTGCCAGTTCTTGCCCAGCGGCACCCGCGACTTCTCCCAGCGCCTGAACATCCCGAAGTTTGTGCAAGCAGTGGCAGGTGTTCGTCAAGTGCAGCGTCAAGTGGTGGTAGGTTCCAAGCCACCCAGGGGTCATGCCATTTGGCAACATTGGGAGAACGCGGGCTTCCAGGTGCTCGTGGAGTGGCGAGATCCAGAGAGCAACCGAGAGCAGTTTGTTGATGCACGCTTGGTGGCCGAAGCCTTGATGCATGTAAGCCACGTGGATCGTTTGCGTTCGCAGGGCGATCCCCGAGGGCATGGCCGACATGTCTTCGTCTTGAGCACTGGAGATGGCAACTTGGAGGGTCAGGCTGCAGGCACTGCTGGTGCCAACTTCATCAATTTGGCCAAGGAGGTCGCTCAACGGGGCTGGAAGGTGGAGGTTTGGTGCTGGAATTCCACATGCTCCTCCTCCTATCGACGTTTGGCAGAGGATCCCAACTTGCAGGTAAAGATTTGCTTCCTGGATGGACTTCGCAGTAAGATTACCATGACCTCACGCCCCCAGGAGGAGGAAGAGAACTTATGCATGCAATGCCTGGCCAATGCCTCAACCTATGCCTTCCAGCCATGCAATCACAAGGTGCTTTGCCAAGACTGTGCGGCACTAATCGTGCCACACAAGGGGAGGCAACCTCTGGGATTGTGCTTCATTTGCCGCTTGGAATGGAGAACAATCGTGGCAGTCCCTGACCATGTGCGCAGCTCCTGAAAGTGGACGACCTACGAAAAACCTTCCAAATGATTGGCGAAATCATGTACAGCCTCGCCTCCCATATGAGCTTTTCGAGACTTCGGCAATGTCTATTGAACATTAGAGATTTTCTTTTATCATTGAACTGATGGATGTCCAACAGCCGCCCAGAATGAGGCAGCTTGTACAGATTGATCCGACTCATTTTGGCCGTGTCCCACGGTGCTTCTGGCAGCTGCGACGCTGGTGGAAGGATAATGAGGATGGACACTGCAGACCCTAGAGACCATCCAGCACCCCCAAATGAACCAATTTTCCAGGGCGTGAGCATTGGGGTTTTGGTTCATGGATGGTTGGTCGGCTCATGGATGGCACTGGAATGGGGTCTTCTCGTCGCAGGCCCACTGAGGCACTGCTTGGCCGCCCGGAATTCCAACTCTCCACATCTTCGGTGTGCGAAGGGTCGGTGTACTGAGCCACACAAGGATCCGAGAGGGCGCAGAGTTCCTAGTTTCAAAAGAAAGGATGTATCGTCCTTGTTCCTAGTAGTAAGGTCAGGAGCCCCGTTCGTAGCTTCTTGTTACTAGTTAAGTTTCCCTAAAAATCTGGGAACCAAATGAATCGTGCGAGCGCTTCTTCAAGGAAGCTCCCCCCGCCTGGAGCGTGAGCTAGCCTGCGTCCAGTAGGTAGTAGCTTACTAGCAGATAGTATCTACCTCTCCCTTACTTAACTAAGTAGCCGCCTACTTACTTAAGTAGGGAGGGGGGAGCGGCTAAAAAAGAAGAAACCACAGTTTTTTTGCACCCTTGAAGCGTTGCAAAGGGCATGGATCTTCGACGGTCGGTCACCCGTTTTCCGGAGGGTCATGGTCGGGCGTTCGCGCCGTTCGTCCCGAAACAAGCAATGGCTAGCCCGGCTTCAAGGATGCGCTGAGAAATCTCCCCATCCTGAAGATGCAAGATCTCAACCGGGCGGTGCTCCAGCTCGTCCTCTCTTTCGTCCAAGGTGCTCCAGCTCTCTTCCGGCATTGCTCTCCTGGGCACTGCTGAGCTGGTCTGGGGAGCTTGGAGAGGAGGTCTCGGACTGGGCAAATCAGTTCCATGGAACCCCCCAAATGCCACCGATTCCAGCGGGTTCCATGGCATATGTTTCGGTCAACATCGACGTGGCTCCACACTTTGGGGAGGTCTTGATGAATTGGCTTCGGTACCAAGCCAACTATCAATGATATCACCATTTTGATCCATTTTGTGATTATCACAGGCCACCCACCTTCAGCCACCTTCGAAAGCAAGGTTTAGCCTTTCAATCGCCCCTTGCTTGTTTGTATGAAAGGGACGAATCCGAAGGAAAGGCCAGCCTGGCCGACGAAGAAAGGTCAGGCATGGTTAGGATGCTTTCTCCGCAGGCCTTGTTGGAGGCTTCCGAACCTTGGCTCCGAAAGTGTTTTCGCCACGACCAAAAACGGGGCCTGGTGGATGGTTGGAAGTGGCACTGGAATGGCAAGCTGCCGAATGGGCAGGTTTTTTCAACCTGCTTTCGGGTTGAAACCTGCTCACCTCTCAAAGAAGTTGCGATCCAATTGGTTGAGTAACATGGGAACCTGCAATAGGATCCTGTGTTAAACATGTGAATGCGAATCATCCTTCTTCCTGACACTCAGATCGCGGACTTCTGGTTGATGAACTGCGTCCCTGAACGGAAGTGGGGCGTCTCAGTTCTTGTGAACCGGCTTTCTGCCGGTGATTCGATGGAGGGGAGCGTGCCTTCTTCAAAAGGGCGGGAGCGGGCGCCTTGAGCGTATTTTCTCGCGAGATCCATATGTTAATAGGAATTGAGTCTAGAGGTGCCCCTTGGGAGCCAGAGCCACTTCTTCTGCCAGTCAACGGACGTAGAAGTAGTAGATCATTGTTTTTAGGAGATGCCACATACATCCACATGCATATGTTATGTATTTATATAACTACTATTTTTGTTACGTTGTTAGCCCACCGATCGTTTTTGGTTCACGGTCGGTTTTTTTTGTTATAAGTTTTTATAGTTCCCTTTTTGACGTTTTGTGTTATTCCCCTATTCCATGTACTGGCCCAGGAACGATAATAAATCATAACGAACTGTTTGAACTAGGAGTCATGGGTGGGGAACGAGAACCTTTGCTCCTGGCTTGGATAATGCATTTGGTCCTTGAACCAGGGGGTGCCAGTGCTTTGCCACAAGGCACTATGCTGAGCAGAAGATCCGCCAGATGGAGTCAGTGAGCGACTGATGCTGCCCGGACGCGACCAGTGTATTGCGACCTTAAAGTTTGTGCGTTCAGCAGCAGCACACGCCCACAGCAAGAAAGCTGTTTGAACCATGAGTCAGTGCCCCGTTTCACCCTGGTTTCCGAAGCTCCAGCGTGGTGGGATTGGAAAAATCTTCTCGATGGCACATTCTTGATTTGATTAGCGTGGAGGCATGGAATTATCCCTTTACTTAAGCCATTTCGAGCAGTTCTACTTCACGCAGTAGGCGATGTGAATCCACCTCCAGACGGCAACAGTAGGGGAGTTGCCTGGATTTTTTCCAAAGATGCCAGGAGTTGAAGCTTCCAGCCACAGTTAGGGCTGGCTGTGAACTTGGTTTGATTGGATTTTTCCGCAATCATTTGCACAGCATGGCATAGCCGTTGCTCCATTTTTGTGCGCCTGGGGCCTTACTGACTGCTTCACCAAAGCTGGTGCAGAAATACTGGTGATAGGATTCTCTGATTGCTTACCATTGCCAAGGGCAAGTGAGTGGTTTAGTGGTTTTGGGACAATACCTGCAGATGAGCGGGAGGCAAACGCCGGCGGGGAACGAAAAAGCTTATCGTCTACTACCTTTGACTTCGGATGACTTCGGGTATGTGGTTCCAGGTGGTTCTAGGGTTCCAGAATCCAATGACCCTTTAAGCTTAAATCCGGAGGAGCTGGCAGTTGCTCCGTGAATGATTCCGCTGAGGTCGACATGCTTCGTTTCGTGGCCTTGGCACTCGCAAGCCAATGCAGGCGGAAATCTGAGCAGCTTGGAAACTCCCAGCTCACCCCTGATCTTCTCCCAAGACGATGAGTAGGACACAGGTTGGATGATGGGGAGAAGGTATTTTGATTTGAAGGCTTTAAGACCCACATGGCGTCCATTCAATTGAAGGTCTTCTCATCCACTCCTGGACATTTCCGTGACCTGGCTATGAGCCGGCTAGACCACCAGATCTGCCCGGGTGGTGCAGGCATATCCTTGCAGATGAGTCATGGCAGGAGAGATGTCGGGTTCTTCTCTCCCGGCGCCGATGGTCCGCAAGCACGTGATTCGTCCTGCATTCGTCGGCGGAAGATCACCGTCGTTGGATCCATCCATCCAAACTCTGCCGATCTGCAGGACACACCGATTTTGACTTCCTTGTGGCAAGCGACCTCCAACAATGACAACGACGCAATTGATAGGCGACCGACCGTTGAGACATGCACTGGAGACCCGGAAGAACCTCCGCTTGAAATCAGATTGGAGATGTGAGAAATCCCAAGCAATTCCCTCAACATCCTTGAATCGCAGCCAGTTTGGGTCCGAATCCTTGAGACGGAGCGGTTCAAAGATCCATGGCGGGTCTCACATATCGCTTCACCTTCATCGACGTCAATGAGGCGAAACGCGACGGTCATGCCGCTTCGTGGCTCCAACACAACGCACAAGCTCTTGAAGCGGAAGTTGCGAAGTCTCCATATCTGCAGGGGTTCTCATGCTTTCTTAACTGATTCGGATCAGCGATTGTGTGGTTGCGTTCTGTTCGACACAACAAATTAGGCCAGTGTAAGCCTCCTTGTGGGCAATTTTTGTAACGTTCTGACGTGCTGTTGCCTTGCTATTCCGGCAGCAATTGCTGCAGTCTTCTGGCCAGGATTTCAGCTAGAAGTTTAGACATGAATGGAACATGAAGGGACCTTGGACATGAGGAGGCCATCCCATTTACATCACACGTCGACGACGTCGATGTCCAAACACCACACCCTCACAGTTTGCAGGAGACTCCAGCTTTCGCGCCACGCTCACTCACTGAGCAGCTGGTGTCAGGGCACGAGCTCATCCCAGAGGAGACCGATCTGGTCCAGGAATTCGGAGCTGTTCCGCCAAGAATCAAGAAGAAACTGATCATTGGCTTGTTGAGATGGGCGGTCTCAGAACCTTTCGCATTTGTTCGAAGCATCCCATTCTCATCCGGCAGGAGCTGGCGCGGTCCGAGTGTGTCAAGCAGTTGTGCGAGGAACCGTGGAAGCGATCTGAGGGACGGGCACCCGGGAGCACCCGGGCGTCGGCCGTGGCATGGCCGTGGCAACATCGCTCGTCATACAGGACGAGGAAAACAATGGAGCAATTGCCAGTTGATCAATAGGTATAGACTCTTGAAAACATCCGAAACCAGTGTAGGCCAGTGTAGGTGAACAGAGATGTTATACCACCATCAATTCTACACTCTAGACTCTTGTAGGTGAACCGCCATTGTCGGACACCCAGCATGTCCAACCGAACGAAGCCCACGAACGAACCGGGAAAAGATGGGAGCAGAAAGGGCACGAAGATGTGGGAAGAAGTGATAGTGGATCAAACATGTCTGGTCACTACTTGTCTGAGTCGAATGCGGATCTGGCGCCAGGAGTGGGCGCAGTCTGAGACTGAGCCTCACTTTGAGCCCGTCCGAGCCGAAATGCTTCCTGAGGCCCTAGAGTGCTTCAATCATGATGCGCTATCGACACCATTTGCTTGTGACGGGAGGGACGTCATCAACGAAATCTGCATTCAGAGTCGTAAGGTCAAGGAGCGGATGAGAGCCATAGGCTTGATACCACCCCACCTCAACACCCGGACGGGCTTGTACGCTGCACTCGTCTGAGGCCCCGCCTCTCCTCCTCCCGCCTGCTCCTCACACACACACTCTTCACACCAACTCAACTCACACCCACTCCGCTCCACTCCACTCCACTCCACTCCACTCTACTCTACTCTACTCTACTCCACTCTCTCACTCTCTCACTCTCATTATCACTTTCTCACTTTCTCACTCTCACTCTCTCACTTTGTTAGATTTTCTTAGTACTATCTCCCCTCATCAGCCCTGTACATTCATCGCCACCTTTACAAACACAAAAGCTTCAAACATGACATGGGGTTATCCGGCCATTGAATTCGCCGTGCCCCACCTCACCCCGGTGCACCCCACCCCAACCACCTCAACCCATCCTGCAGATCCCAAATCCGAGACGTAAGTGATTTGCCGAGACGCAAGTGATCCCCCCTGCTTGGTGACGGGTTTAAACGAATTGGTGATCTTCACACACCAGTTATTCTTTATGTATTTATTTTTTGAGTTTTGTCATTTTGTGGTTGGACTGTTTCAGTCATTCTTTGCAGACTTGTTTGGGTAAGTTTAGGCATTGTTTTGATTCTTCATGTTGTTTGAAGCATTGATTTTTGATTCTCTTTGTGACCCTTACCCAGAAAAAGGAACCTTCTGACTTCTGACGATGAACAATGCACTATCCTAGACATCGCGCAGGGTGATGAACCAAACTCATCGTCTCAAGACATATTTGTGAGTCGCAGAGTGCGCCGTGCCCATTTGAGTTGTTGGCCGACTGCGTCATTTTGATGCATTGCGGTGCAATCTTGTGGCCCTGTTTGGAGGTTTTACCTGATATTTCAACCGGAAGTGCAGGACAGACGTTGGGGAGACGAGGGCAGCGAGAGGTGCAAGTAGCATCAAGTAGCTCTGTAGTCCGACAGGTGCTCGAGAAGCTAGGGGCAGGGGCAAGTGCGGCAAGTGTCAACTCGAGGCAATTAAGGAAAAGGGGCTGCAATGGTGCAAGACCTACTGCTACTAATTTTTATCTTTCCTTTTTAGTTACCCAGGGAAGCTAGGCAGACCCCGTCACAACTGAAATCCCCCAAAACACTCATGAGTGTCCACCACATGGCGAAGCCCCCACCAATTTGTTTTTGCAAATCATGTATGCCGGTGCGAATGGGCTGTGATATATGCTCAAGCAACACCTGACAGCAAGAGAAAACCAATCCTTTGGATGAGACGAAACTCGTCCAGGACATCCTAACTTTTGCTCGAGGCCATGCACATACTTCAGTGGCTTGGCTCGAGGCCATTGTGGTTGATGAAAGAGCGTTGGACAGGTTGACGAAACGCTCTTTTCTAAGGCCCCGGCGCTTTGATCGTTGCAAAAGAGAAAACACCAAACAGAGACGTCTGGCACAAAACAGAGACGTCTGCTGTAGACTTCCCACTAGATAGTGGCACAAGTCCTTTGCATGGTCTTTTGTGTTCTGGTCAAATCACACATCCTTCTGGTTTGTTTCAACCTGAGACGAAGCACAGTTCTCTTTCTGCGTCGAAACAAATTCGTCGGTGTCTCTTGTTTCACTCTGATGTGAGGGACTCCTGCATTTGAGGCAAAGGTTCCTGCCGCAACGGGGACTCCTGCAGCTTTTGCCATTTGCCGCACTGTCACACGCCCAAACTGGACAAGCGTCAGCGCATGGTGGTGGCGAAGCTGTGGCTTGGACCAGCTTGGATTGGGGCTCGGCGAAGTGGCGGACTGCGGATGGACATGGCTGTATTTGGCTTATTGATAAACTGATGAGTCACCGACTGACTTAGTATCTATCCTCATTCACTGACTTGGTGTGTAACCTTGAGATGAGGTTTCCGAGTTGCTTTCTGGGTTTGAATTGTCCCCCGACTTTTGGCTTTCAGGTGTACCTACGACCGGCTGTCCTTGGCCCTCGTGGCCTTGCAGTTGAAAGCCAACCGAGCGGAAAAGCAGCGTGTGGAGCTCCCAGTCCAGGAGAGATCGGAGTCTTCAGGCTCTGACATGCAAGACCCTTCAAAGGGCGCCCATGGCTCAACGAAGTCATAGGGGACCATCAAAGGAAACAAACGACATGTAACATCGTCTAAAACATGTGAGCCCCTGGCTCTTTTTCAGCCAAATTCAAATGGATTTTGGAATTGACAGGAGCTTTTGGTGCTTCTGCAAGAGCAGATCCAACGTTGTAGCCAGGAGGACCTGGTGACACCTGGTGACACCTGGTGACCTGCGTTTGGTGACCGGACGTCGAGACCGATGACCCGACGTACCTGCCCTTGCGAGGAGCGCATGTCCACGATCACCAGGTATCTTGGCTGCGCAGTTCTTAAAGAGGTTGGTTGAAGGAACTTGGCTTACTTTGATCAAACACAGCTGGTCATGGTGCTATCACCGCACAAGCAAAACTGAGATACGTGGCAAAAGCATGGAAAAGCATATAGCAGCAACATGAACATCGATCGCGCTAGAAGGATGTGTCCAAACCGAACCAACGCGTCCAAAGGAGAGACACATATAAGTACAGGATAAGGCTAAGATAAGCAATGAACAGTCAAGAACACCTACTAACGAAACAACTACGGAGATGATAAAGACACCAAACAAACATGGCAAACCACTCAAACTTGACACAAAGCTGCCAAAGAGGAGGCAAACACATGAAAGTAAGAGCATGTAAAAACACAAGGGACGGCGCAATAAAGGACACGTCAATGCAACTGCAGTAGGAGCGCACTCGTGCATACTGTATGTACAGTGTACACTCCGTTACTCTCCCCACCGACCCTTGGCTCAAGCACATGCAGATAGGAAAACAAGCGCGCTGACACAGCTGCATGGCAAACTGAGGTGGTCTTTGCTATTTTTAACGAATACTCTGACTAACGCCCGTTCGCAGGTTATCAGCCGTAACGCTTTCACTACGAGTTTTTTGAGGACCGCACCTACAACGACCTGCAATGCCAAGTTCTGGAAGTCCTAGCAAGCCCTTTCCATTCGCTGCACCAGGAGGAGCTGGATCACAATCGACTTCGGATTCAAGAATGACCGTCGGCGCTGTCAGCTCACATGACGTCACTGTCATTACGATGCAGACTAATTCAACGACTTCTGGTGAAGGTATTGGCACTACCGTAGCTCTGGTCAGTGATGCCGGAGTACCAACTGACTCGATGGGGCCACATGAGAAGGAGAACGAGAAGTCCCGTTAGATCCACATACATCACTGAGAATGCTGTCCACGAGGTCGCCAACAAGGAGCTTTGACAAGCCCAAGAAATTGGAGGTTGATCAAGACCTCAGACACAACAGAAGAGAGAATAGATAGAGATAGTTATTGGAAGAACTGCGGTCATCAAGAATGATTTTGCAAGAGCAGTTCAGCTTCTTGCGCTCCATACATCAAGAGCTGTACATGAGGTCACACGAAGACTTGGTATGTGTTTCGACACACGGGAGAACTATGGAGAACCAACTGCAGGAAATGAAGCAGGAACATGAAGGAGCTACGGTTAGAAACGGAGAGGTTGAAAGAGAAATTCCTTGTGCTGAAGAAGCTGCTGAACACATACTCA